CCTCAAGTACTGTAGTGCCATAGTTGTAATTGTTTACCATTAAGATCTAGTGTGTAATTTTCAGTGAGGATTACTGACTGTGCTCATCTTGTGTGTTTCTGGAGCATTTCCAGGTTGAATGTGAATTATATCTCATTCACGCAGTGTGTTTATGGAAAATGTGCCATTAAAGTGTCTCCTTTCCTTAGACAGTGAAACTCCTCTTGTCCTTCTACAGGCTTGTAGAATATCATTAGTGCAAATCTTCTGAAACACAGGGGCTGGAGTTATTTTACCTTGTTCTTGCAAAATAAAGCAAATTGAAGCATTCTCAGTAGTTAACACCGCTACCAAGGCTCAGTATCTAAACTCAAAGGAGGATCTGCTGTTCAGTGTTACCCAGTGGTGAGCCTTGTCATCCAACAGCTGTTTGGTTGTATGTCACACTATGGGCTCTGTCCTCTGTGTGGTAAGTGGCCATCCTAGCAGTGGTAACCTTCTCATTCAAGTTTGCTGGGGTTGGGTTTTTTTAAATACACACACACACACACACAGAGATAAGACATATATATATATATGAATATATATATACACACACATGTATATATGAATATGTATACACACACACATAATAACCCTGGGTGTATGATAACTCTGAGCACCTCAGCTATCTAAACCTGCTTAAAACTGAAGGTAAGTTCTGCAAAGGATGAAGGGCAGAGTCTGTGCAGGAAGAACAGCAACCGCCAGCCCCCACACCACGTACACTGCTGCTGCTTCCTGGAATCCCGGCCGCAGAGGTCTGTGGGTAGGCGCAGCACTCGCACACAGGTAAGAAGTAGTGGTTGCACTCCGCAAAGTGATCTTAGATGCTGTTTTGCAGAGTTGCATTTCTTACTGCATTCTCAGGGCAAGGCAGAGAAGATGAGTTCTGTTCCCTTTTGCCCTGTCACATGCTGACACAAACCCCATTAAAACACATGGGTACATAAATTCTCCCAGCTATAACTTGAAAAACTGCAGTGCTGTTCTGCTGTTATTATCTGCTGCTGAGTTAGTGTGTTCCCTTCTATTAACACTAGATGTCAGATGAGCATAAACTACCTAAATCTCACATGGAGATCATAGGGCTGTTGGTCACTGCTGGTTTTAATTATAAGCTGCCATTCACTGTAGCTTTTCTCTCCTTTCTGCTACAGTCTCTCCTGCTACTGAAAAGAAACATTTGACTCCTAAACCCAATCTTACACAGCCTTCCACCACCACCACATGCAAAACTATAGCAACAGAACTAAAACTGCAAACCCAAAAATGACACAATAAACACTATAATCCTTGAGCTCATAGAAGGGATTTATTAAAAGCAAAAGCCCCCACACACAGCTAAACGCAGACCAGCTCTGTCCACACAGGGCTGCCTGTGTCATCACTTCCCTTGTGCACAAGGTGGGTAAATGAGTACCTCTGTGCGTGCAGCTGCATGTGTGCATGTGCATGTCTGTGTATCTGTGTCTGCTGTCTAGGTCTCTGTCCATATGTGTCCATGTCTCTGTGTGTCTGTGTATCTGGCTTTGTGTCTTAGTGTTGGTCCGTCCACGTGTCCATCTTTGTCTTTATGTCCGTCTGTTAGTGTTTCCATTTGTATGTCTGTCCTGCTGGCTGGCCTTCCGGGTCCTTGTGTCCATTTGTCCATCTTTGTGCCTGCTTGTCCATGCTTCAGTTTGTGTTCATCTGTCCATCTTTGTGACTGTCCGTCCATGTGTCCCTTTGTCTTTCATTTGTCTGTCTGTATCTGTTTGTCCATCCATTTTTCTGTTAATATATTTGTCATTGTCTGATTGTCCTTGTGTTTGTCTGTCTGTCCATCTTTGTGTCCATTTGTCTGTCCATCCTTGTGTCTCTTAGTCCATCGGTCTCTTTGTGTTCATTTGTCCATTGTTGTGTCCATTTGTCCTCCTTTTTGTCTGTCTCTCCATCTTTATGTCTATTTGTTCTTCCTTTCATCTGTCCCTTTGTCCTTGTTTGTCTGTCATGCCAGTTGTTCATCTTTGTGTCTGCCCTTCCTTTTATTTTTGTGTCCATTTGTCCATCTTTGTACCTTTTTGTCCTTCTGTTTGTCCATCTGTGTGTCCATTTGTTTTTCCGTGTGCCTGTGTCTGCCTGTCCTCCCTTTTTGTCTGTCCATCTTTGTGTCCATTTCTCCTTCTTTTTGTCTGTCTGTGTCCATCTGTCCTTCCATTTGTTTGTGTGTGTCCACTTGTCCTTCCTTTTGGCTGTCCTTTGTGTCTCTCCTTCCTTTTGTCCGTCTTTGTTTCCGTTTGTCCCTCCTTATATCCATCTTTCCATTCCGTTGGTCCTTCCTTTTGTCCATCTGTCCTTTCGTCTGTCCATCTTTGTGTCCCCCTGTCTTTTTGTCCCTCTGTCCTTCCTTTTGTCCCTGTCCTCCTTTGTGTCTGTTTGTCCTTTTGTCTGTCTGTCCATCTTTGTCATTCTGCCTACCCCTTGTGTGTGTGTCCATTTGTTCTGTCCATCTTTGTGTCTGCCTGTCCTCCCTTTGTCTGTTCGTCTTTGTGTGTCCGTCTCTGTGTCCATTTGTCCCTTCTTTTCTCTGTCTGTCCTTCCTTTTGTCCATCTGCCCTTTTGTCTGTACATCTTTGTGTCCATTTGCTCTTCCTTTTGTCCGTCTGTCCTTTTGTCTGTGTGTCTTTGTCTGTTTGTCCTTCCTTTTGTCTTTGTGTCCATCTGTCCTTTTTGTCTGTGTCCTTCTTTGTGTCACTTTGTCCTTCCTGTCTGTTCTTTGTTTTGTCTGTATGTCCTTCTTTGTGTCTGTCCTTCCATTTGTCCATCTGCCCTTTTGTGTGTCTTTTTGTTCTTCCTTTTGTCCGTCTGTCCTACCCCTTGTCCATCTTTGTGTCCATTTGTTCTTCTGTTTGTCCTTGTGTCTGCCTGTCCTTCCTTTTGTCCGTCCTTCCACCTTTATGTCCTTTTCTCTTTACGCTTGTTCATCTTTGTGTCTGTTTGTCCTCCCTTTTGTCTCTCTCCTCCTTTGTGTCCATTTTTCCTTTTTTTTTCTGTCCGTCCTCCCTTTTGTCCACCTTTCGGTCCATTTTTTCCTTCCTTTTGTCCATCTGTCCATCTTTTTGTCCATTTGTCCTTCATTGTGTCTGTGTGTCCTTTTTTTCTGTCCATTTTTCCTTGTCTGTACTTCCTTTTCTCCATTTGTCCTTGCTTTTGTCCATCGTCCTCCTTTATGTCTGTCTGTCCTTTTTGTCTGTGTCCATTTGTCCCTCCTTTTGTCCTTGTGTCCATTTGCCTTTCCTCTTGTCCATCTGTCCTTCCTTTTGTCTGTGTCCGTGTTTGTGTCCGCCTGTGTTTGTGTTCATCTGTCCTTTTTGTCTGTCCGTTTAGCCTTCTGTTTATCTTTGTGTCTGATTGTCCTTCCTGTTCTTTCTTTTTGTCTGCCCTTGTTTGTGTCCGTCCTTTTGTCCTTCTGTCTTTGTGTCTGTCTGTCCTTCCTTTTATCTGTCTTTGGGTCCTTCTGTCTGTCCATCTTTGTGTCTGTTTGTCCTTCCTTTTTTCCATCTATCCATCCTTTTGTCTGTCCATCTGTCCTTCCTTTTGTCTGTGTGTCTTTCTTTGTGTCTTTTTTTTTTGTCCATCCTTCTGGGGATCTTGTCTTTGTCCATTTTTTCTTCCTTCTGTCCACCTGTCCTTCCTTCTGTGTGTCCATCTTTTTTGTGTCCATTTGTCCTTCCTTTTGTCCTTCTGTCCATCTTTGTGTCTGTCTGCTTGTGTGTCTGCGTCTGTCCTTCCTTTTGTATGTCCTTTGTGTCCATTTGTCCTTTTTTGTCTGTCCTTTTGTCCATCTGTCCTTCCTTTTGTCCTTCTGTCTTTGTGTGTCTGTCATTCCTTTTGTCTGTGTCCATCTGTCCTTTCTTTCAGTCTGTCCTTCCTTTTGTCCATCCTTCTGTCCATTTGTTCCTCCTCGTCTGTTTGTCCTTCCTTGTCCATTTGCCCTTCTGTCTGGGTGTCTTCTTTCCTTTTTGTCTGTGACCCCATTTGTCCTTCATTTTTTCTGTATGTCAGTCTTTGTGTCTGTCTGTCCTTCCTTTTGTCCATCTTGTTTTTTTCTGTGTGCCCGGTCATTCCTTTTGTCCATCTTTGGGTCCATTTGTTCCTCTCTATGTCCCTTTTGCCTTCCTTTTGTCTTTGGGTCCACTTGTCCTTTGTGTCTGTTTACCCTTGCTTTTGTCTGTCTGTCCTTCCTTTCATCTGGCTGTCCGTTTTTGTGTCTGTCTGTCCTTGCTTTGTGTGTCTGTTTGTCCTTCCATTTGCCTGTCTTTGTGTGTGTGTGTGTGTGTGTGTAGGTCTCTGCACGTGTATGTTTTTATGTCTGTGGGTATGTGTCTGGGTACTCATCTCCAGATGTGTCTGTACACAGGCCTATGGGAGGGGGTGTGTATCTGTACCTGGCTGTGGCTGCATGTCTGTGCTCAGCTGTGTGTGTGCTTTTCTCTGTGCATGTGTCTGTGTGCATGTGTATCTTCGTGCATGCCTGCATAGGTCTGCCTCTGTGTGTGTACATGCGTCTGTACATCTGTGCATTTGTGGATATGTGTTTGTGCACAGCTGAGTGTGAGCCTAGGTGGGTGTGTGTATGTATCTGCATGTGAGTTGGTGTGTGCACGTGTTTGTGTGTTCATGTGTCTGTGTGAGCACGTCAGTCTGTGTGCATGCATGTTTGTGTGTGCACCTGCATACCCCTGACTATGTCTGTGACTCTGCATGAGTGTACGTGTCTACCTGTGCATGGCTGTGTGTGTACGTGTATCTGCACATCTGTCTGTGAGTGCGTGTGTCTGTGCTTATCAGTGTCTGTGTGGGTGTGTCTGGGTGAAGGGTGCTACTGTACCTGAGCAGGAACCAGAAGTGCAACCTTGGAGAAATCACTGGACAAATAAAGGTTAAACTGGTCATGTGCTGCAACCCCCCATTTCCGCTCCAAAAGCCCAATACCCCCCCCATCAGTCACTGCCCAGTGCTGGAGCTTTGCTGGACTCCAGGGGGCCTGGAAGGGAAAACCAAAATCCCTTTTAAGGAAGCATTCCCATCCTGTGCTGCTCCACACGCCCCCGCCGGTCCCTCGCACAACCCAACAAGCGTTTCATGCATTCATCTGTCCCTATTCTGAGCTGCTGCACCAGCTGTTTGCCAAAAATAAACACCATTCCACAACCATATATGTATGTGCAACAGCCTTCTGGTGCCTGTGAGCCCCTCCAGCACTGCCTGCTGGTAATTCCACAGGGCCAGAGACTGTTCTGCCTACCACAGGGGCTCCGTCAGGCTATGCATATAACCCAGCTCAATCGGGAGTGCCTTTTACATCTGTTTTCTTTTCTGGACAAAAACAGTAGGAAAAGTTTAGCAAAAACATGTCACAAGCTGCTAGAAGTGTTCCAGGATCCGTTACTGTGGTCTCTCTTGAACTTTCATTCTCCAGTGGAACTAAAGAAGGATAATTTCCTCCTGGGACCTGCTTTAAAATACTTATCCATCTGCTGGTATTCAGAGAGAGTCAAGGTGTGTAACATTGAGGACTGGATGAAAAACAGCTTCCAGAAAGACTTCTGTAACAGGCATGAGAGCACTGTCACTGACTTTTTACTAGAAGTTTGCAACAGGTACGTTCTTTGGGTGTGAGACGCTACATGTACTGTAAAGGGTAACTTGGAATGAGAGAACGGTTTACTCCATACATCCTGCCTGAAACGGAGAGCGCTTTGACTTTGCAGTTGTACTACAGCGCTCAGTTGGTTTTACAGTGGCAGCAATGGGTACTTCACGCTGACTTTCCTGAAGCCCGTTTTTGCCTTTTTGGGGGGAAGAATGAATAATTAATCCAGGAATACAGGAAAGTGCAATGCTGCTAAACCGATGCTTAACTGAAGGTGCCATTCTGGCAATGCAAAGCACTGGGGGGGGTGAGGGGGGGAAGGGATGTAGAGGAAAGATGTGATTTCAAAAAGCTGTCATAACAAGCCCAAGTTTGTCAAACAAACACCACACTTGATTCATTCTTAGCAATAAGTAGGTACTGCTTTTACCCTGAAGTTTAACTCCCTGCTAGCTTTGTGTAAACTACAGGAAAGGAAACAAATACCGCTACGGGAGCAGCTCTGGGCGCAACGCTGCTTCCAACAGCTTCACTGCTGCGGACAAACAGCTGTAAGGAAAACAAAGTTCAGCTCCCCCGGGAGGAGCAAAGCGGGTAGCGCCAGTCCCGGCTGGCTGCGGGCCTGGCTCAGGGCTGGCAGGGGCAGTCGGAGCCTGCCCTGCAGCGTGTGCTAACGGCCGCGCCCCGGGCCCTGTGCTGCGGGCAGAGTCCGGTTTGGAAGTGAAACCCCACCAAGGTGCAGGACAAGGACGGGCACTGTCCTGGGGGGAGGGTGAGGGGGAGGGAGCCGTCTCCCAGCTGGAGCCTTAAGCTGCGAATACAATTTCAGAAGGAACCGTTCTACAACAGCTGCTCCACACTGCGGATCTTTTGCAAAGTGTCACGGGGAAGGAAGGCAGCACGTGTGTGCCTACAGAGAAGGGCGCAGGACAGACTGCCCTCTCACCCTGGCATTACAGTGCCTACCAGAAAGCCACACTTCACTGTTATTTCCATTCTTTCTGCCATCACGAGCTGGATGCAGACAGAGGACACGTGACCACAGCTCTGCTGAAATGGTTTAAGTGCCTTTCTCCTCTGCAGAACCCGTAACCCCAGACCAGCTGCTGGGCAAAACTCAAAGCCAAGCCCGCAGGGCAGTAACCAACCTTAGAGGCCAGCAGATGCCCTTCAGCCCTGTGTGGATTCCTGCACACAAGTTAGACTGAACTCAAAAAGGACAGTTTATACTAACCCCCCCCCCCTCCATTTTAGCCTTCCTAAGACCAGTGCCTTTTAGCAGCAGCCCACTGCAAGCATTTCCATCCAGACAAAACTGTGAGCATGTTTTGCAAAGAGAAACGCAAATTAAACAGAGATCCTGATTTCCCCTCGGAGTTCACAGTACTTTTCTACCCTGGTGAGGAAGCCACGAGAGGGGCAGGTCGGAGCCTTTCCTGACCCTGCCTGCTTTAACACACCTGTGTTTTCGAGCTGCTCCTAAGTGGAAAAGTAAAAACAAAGCTCATGCCACTGACATGATCCCAGTTTATTGCCTCTGCTCAAAAGGAGAAGTGAAGCAGCAGCACGGGGAGGGGGTAGGGAGTAGAGGAAGAGGAGCATGCTGTGTACCAGCTTTAAGGACAAGACAGCATGGCTGCAGTGACAGCAAACAGCTGCCTGTGCCCCCGCCTACTCTTGCATTCTTAAGCCCTCCTAATTGAAGAGGAGGCATTTCCCTTTCACCCTTATTCTTGACAATCCCAGCTTCTCGAGCTCTAGCATTTGTTTTTCCCCTTGTCTCACCTGTTAACACTCCTGTTCTCAGGTGTCCAAACCTGCTGTCTCTGACCCTCTCGGGCTGCGGCCATGTTACAGATGACTGCATCCTGCTGCTTCTCAAGAACTGCCCAAACCTCAGGATACTCAAACTGGAAAACTGTGTGCGGATCACTGACCAGACCCTGGAAGCTGTAACCCTCTATGGGAGCTCGCTGCACACGCTCCACGTGGATTTCTGCCGGAACATAACACAAACTGGTCTAGAGAGAGTCAGGGAAAAGTGCCCTTCCGTAACGCTGAGAGCAGAGAGGAGCGCTAACATGATTCCAGACAATAAGCCAGGGAAAAAGCTGATGCTTGAAAAAGCATCAAGAAAATTGGTTCAGCTTTAAATGCACAAACTGTGTAACGTGCCCTCAGTCAGTGTGGGTGTCGGAGCCACTGCTGCCCTCCTCTAGGGCAGCAGTGCTACGCTGACCTCTGGCTACACTGACCTTCCTGCACTCTGCCCAAGTGCCAACAAAGCTGCCCTAGGAAAAGGCATCCATCTCCACCTGGACGGCCTCAAGAAGAAAACCTGTTTTGCTTTCTCATATTCTCTGGAACTGGAACCCCCTGCATTGCTGCCTCAAAATGCTAGCCCTAATTAAGGCCCAAACCTGCGATTTTGATACCCTCTTGTCACAGATGAGGGGAATGCACCTCACTCGGAGAGCAGCAGTGGTATGAGTTAAAACAATAATGGGAGATAAATGGAACATTACAAAGTTTAACAGTGGTTTGACAAGGTTCAGTAAGGTCAGTATCAAAGGTCACCTTATTAACCACTGCATGGAAGAAATATACAAAGGAAATATACAAACTCAAAGGAATTTGAATTGAGTTGGAATGAGTGAGACAAAGCCTGGAGACACAAAGAGTAAGGAGGACACTCCTGCTAAGTCCCAAGGTTGAGAGTGAACCCTCTTGGTTTCTGAGCTCCTCAGGTAATGGGAAAGTGCATAAAGCTGCTGCACAACCTACACAGATATCAGGGGAGGAGTGATTAACCAATTTCTGTTAAAAGATACACCCATATGCTCATCCACCCGTGCACGGTGAGAACCACACCAGCCAAGATCTAGCAAAAGCAGAACAGCTGACAACCATCACTTCCTCAGTGATCAATGGCTGTAGCTGATGTGCCAGGCTTGTTTATTAAATGAAGGCTGCATGGCAATGTACACAAAACACAGGCTGAGCCTTCGCGTTATGGACTTTGACCAGATAAGCCAGGTTACTGTTTGGAAGTTGACATCAATGGAAATATGATACAAACAAAATGCTAGCTCACAGAACTTACCTCCAGGACAAGACAGTGACTTCCAGCCTGTAGCTCTAAATGCCAATTGAAAAACACACTGCAGTACAGAGCTGTATAAACACCTGTTTCTCACTGCAAAGTACAAAACCAACATCCATCTTCATCCCAAACCACAGGGCTGTTCCTTTCCTGAGTGCTGCCCTGCTGCATGGAAGTGAAACATTTTTCATCAAGGGTTCCTATGGTGTTTCCTACAAAATCTGACACCAAAGGCTGACAGTTTTATTTTGCTGTATAAAACCTGTCTTGAAATCACACACTGGGATTTGGTCGGGGTAGTGAGTGCTGGGATCGGGAACACTGTTCCAAGACTTGAGGCACATACAGATTTGCTCAAGACAAATGTTACTGTGTCAGCTGTAGTGCAGGTACCTGTCAGCAGTTCTGCCTGTTGAGTCTGGCTCAGTAATCATACAGAACAATCAGTGTGATCACCTAGCATCAATTACTCAGGGTTTTGCTTCAACTCCAGCATGCTATTTTCCAAAGCAGCCTGTCTCCTCCCCTGTGCTTTATTGCACAGGCACATCCTCAAATTCCACTTTCCATTACTGTCCATTTTGCTGACTGATTCTGCCATGAATTCAGAATTCCAGCTCCTGGAGAGCACACCATAATCTAGAATCCTGCCCATTTTTGCTGACTCTGCAGCTCACCTTGTATTTACCTGAAATTTCTCTCCCATTCGACACAAGCCAATGAAGAGCTTTACACTTACAAAGAATGACAGAGGGGTAACTCAGGCCACAGGTAACTTGGTTGCCCTGGAGGACCAGGTGTCAGTTCAGCTTAGACATCAAACAGAAGGCTGCACACAGACTATGGAAACTAACAGTTCCAGCTGAAATCACAATGAAGTCAACAGCAGTTAGGATTTCATTTTAAACTCAAGCCTTACAGAGTAGAAATACCCAAGTGTGTGTCTCCTTAAAATTAAAGCACATTTAGAAATACTAACTTTTGGAAATATTGTTCAGCCCCATGGAGAGAGTCAGCCTTCCTGTTCCAACTGACAACAATCACCCAAAACTTGGTCACTACAGCAACCTCTGTGCACATACCACAGCAAGCCTCTTTCTCCTTGACAGGGCAGGCTCTGCAGTTGCTGATAATCTTCCTGCACTGGTCAGAACACAGATGAAATATACTAGTTACAGACATGTAACCTGGAGCTTTTATCGCTGGAATTCAAGCATATCCAGACTATCAAGGCTTAAACAACCTGATCTCTGTTGCATTTTAACAGTTGTACCTACACACAGAGCTCTGCAGACTTACTACGTGTCTGCATCTTTTATGTAACTGGAAGACCACAGGAGCCAGCTTTTCCTCTAAGGAATGGAATTTGTAACCTCTTAAATTCCTACTTAACAACTTATTAAAGGTTGCCACAAATACCTAACCTGATACATGTTTTTCTTCAGAATTAGAGAACAGCATGACTGTAGCACCTCTCTGCTAAACCAAAAAGAATGTGTGACAAATGACTGTTGAATTAAAGCAGACATTTCTCCTGCCCCGGCATCTAAACTGCAGAATCGAGTTGTGAAGTTGGGCCTCAATTACTCAGGAATACCTGGCCTGATTTCCCAACTTCTCATGTGTTCTTTTCCCCATGCTGTCTCTCTTTTCATTAAAGCTATGTGCAGCTTGAGGCGTCACGATGGAGAACTTGGCTCTGATGTCTGAGGCAGTCTTGAAAGAAAGATTTCAACTGACTCACTGTCTTTCATTCATGTTTGAACAGAAGCAGAGGAAATGTTATCAAAATTCCACCTGAAGCCAGTTTTCTTACTGCAGGAGTAGTACTGTACAACTGGATTTCCAATCAGTTTCTCTAGAAAGGTAAATTTAACACAATCTCAGCAGAAATATTTTAATAGACTGCATCCTGGGCTCTTGTTCTTCCCCCTGCAGGAACTGATGAGCTAGCCGGGAACTCCTGAAAGCATTCTTTATGTGGTGCATCAAAAATAGAAAGAGAACTTTACAGCTCTCAGCAGAAGTCAATGTACTTACTTCTTGCCATGCTGGTTAACTGATCCACAGATATCCTTTGGTACTCTCTAATTTGGCTGAGCTAAGAAATAAATCACAGCATTACAGACTCAGTTAAACACAGCTGAAATTCTACAGAAATACTTGATGGGTATGAGTAACCACAAGAAACTCACCCAGAAGACAAATAAAACCAATCATTTCATCACAGCAGCATGCCACTGGAATACTCTGTTATTCCATTAACTCATTCCTAACATTTAATTAAGCACGTAACAGAACAAAACTGGAAGCCCAGACAGGAAGGACAAACAGCATTCCTAAACTAGCAATTACAACTTGGAAAAGAGATTGCTGGACTGAACAAACTTACTGTGATGTGGAAATTGGGATGGTGACACAATTCTTACCTTGAATACACAACTGGTGAAAACCCCCAGTTTCAAATACTGCTGACAAGCCGAAACAAGGCAGGAATTCTGTACAGTCACATCCGTAACCAAAGACCTTCTCCTGATGCCAGCTCACCAAGCACTGATGAAAGATGCATCTCTGTAGACCTGACACCCAAAAGATTTTCAAGTAGCTACAGGAAGTGAGAGCGGGCATGCATCTGCCTCTATCTTACTTCTGCCTTTTTGCCAGTTTTCTATCAGGACTGTCTGGGGAGGTGGGGGCAGTGGTAGTGTGGGTTTTTTACTTGGCAGAGCTACAGAGGGCCTTAGAACACTCTCCTACTTGGTTTCTTTGCCTATTTATGTACAAATGCTCAAAGTCATATATTACTTTGCCCATCCTCTCCTTGAATGGGGATATTGGTTCATGACATGGTAAAAATCTGAACACACTTGTGTTGATATATTTTCTCAGCACCCATAATAATGTTATTGCTTAGCAACCCAATTTGAAAAGTGAGGATATAATGAGTACATTTTATTTAGAGTATTATGTAAGGATGGATGCATGTTAGTAATTTTTTTTTGTTCCAAGACATTTGAGTTTTGTCAGAGTTCTCTAAGATTACTGAAACCCTTTTTACTCTTCACAGACCCCAGCTCTAACTTCCCAGGTGTGGAGGGAGGCCACTTGTTATTTATCATTTTATGAAAGTACTAAGAGAAAGGTGATGTAAACTGAGATGCCTATTTGGAAGCTGCAGCAGGTTATCAGATGCAAGTGGCAAACAAGGCTTCCTTAAGTTTTGTGCCTCCAAAGCTTGTGCCTTTTCCTACATGATAGGGTAAAAGCAACAGCCAGCAAACCCTTCAGATTTCCACTGTAACAACATACCTGAGCTTGGCAATAAGGCAAAAAGAAATTCAACAAAGGCCTGTAGCACAGTCAAATTCCTTACTTACCAACTGAGGCTTTTTTTTTTTGCCACTGCACTTCATCACACAGTCAAAATGGCTAAAGGACAGATCTAAATCAAGCTTCCAGAACTGACCTGACTGCCTGTTCACCTCTTTCATGGAGAGTACATACTCCTGTTGAAGAACACATTCTGCTCTTCCCAGTCCCCTCTAAGCACAACACCTTCCACCTCCACCAGCTGAACCAACACTACCACCACCAGCTCCAGCAAGAGTGAGGCTTCAAACCCATGTAACTTGCCTACCTCTAGTCACAGGGCCTGGCTGTTCTTCTCTGTTGTGCCTACCTGTTTCAAAGGGCTACCCAGCTGTCTGATAGCCCAAAAGGCTACAGAGGTACTTCCTAGGTAGGAAAGAAAAAAGCAGGAAAAAATGATTGGAAATACCAGGGGTGGTAGAGAAGAAATTACCTTATCCCTGGGTGAAACCAGGATAAGCAATAGAAATTACGGGCTTTGAGAAACAACAGCCTTATATGTTACTTCTGTAGCTAAAGCTTTTTCTCTCGTTATATTTATAATTTAACACTTTAAGCTTACTGTGCCTCCATCTCTCATTATGTGCAGTGGGTCTAGATAAACACATTGTCACACACACCTTGCAAATGCCACACATCTGTTAGCACTGACACTCCCTGCTCCAGTCATACACAGATGTCCCACCCAATGCTGAAAGACTGAGCTGCACATTTATTTTAACTACCTGCATATACGACCTACTTGTACTACAGAATGCAGAACTACACT